GGGGGGGAGGGGGAGGAACCAAAATCTGACTCAATCGATCTGACTATCGATCTCACTCAACGAAACACCACGGGACACCACGGGACACCACTGGACACCACGGGACACTTGTCGATCTCACTATCGATCTCACGATCGATCTCACTCAACGGGACACCACGGGCCACCACGGGACACCACGAAACACCACGGGACACCTCTCGATCTCACTATCACTATCGATCTCCTCAACGGGACACCACGGGACACCTCGGGACACCACATCGATCTCACTATCGATCTCACTATCGATCTCACTATCGATCTCACCACACGGGACACCACGGGACACCACGGGACACCTCGGGACACCTGTCGATCTCACTATCGATCTCACTATCGATCTCACTATCGATCTCACTTTTTGGGACACCACGGGACACCACAGGACACCTCGGGACACCACATCGATCTCACTATCGATCTCCCTATCGATCTCACTCAACGGAACACCACAGGACACCTCGGGACACCACGTGACACCTCGGGGCACCACATCTATCTCACTATCGATCTCACTATCGATCTCACTATCGATCTCGCTCAGTGGGACACCTCGGTACACCACGGGACACCACAGAACACCACGGGACATCGCGGGACACCGCGAGCCACCGCCGGACGGGCGGGCGGGGGAGAATCCTTTGTCTTGACTTCGCCCTAGCAACGGCGGACACCACGGGACACCACGGGACACCGCGGGACACCGCGATCCACCGCCCGACGGGCGGGAGGGGGAGAATCATTTGTCTTGACTTCGCCCTAGCAGTGGCGGGTTCATTCCTCTCGCGCGCCCACACAGCTTCGCCTCGCCCGCACGCACGACACGAACGAAACGAAACGATTTCCTGGTTGGGAGTCTCCGTTCCAAGGCGATCTCACCCCCCAACCTCTGATTAAAACGAGTCGGCGCAAGCTGGAAAAAATAAGGAAACGGCCCCCTGGAAAGTGTAAAAAACGGTATGGTGAACAAGCGACACAAAACGAGAGTGCCGATGATAATGAATACGGGGCGGGCGGCGCAGCGGGCATCAGCAGCAGCGAGCACTAGCAGCAGCGAGCAGTAGCAGCAGCGAGCAGTAGCAGCAGGCAGTAACAACAGGCAGTATCAGCACCAGACAGCATAGGAAGGTGGTGGCGGCTGCAGCGGGCAGGAGGTACAACAGAGAAGCTGTTTGGAGAGAGTGTCGAGCTCTTATCGCGCATTGCCTGTCAGTCGCTGTCCGACCCACTGGAATGGGGGGTTGGAAACGCGTTGAAAACGTAGTGGGAACGTACTGTAAACCGTCTCACCCAGGTAACTTCGACCCTTGGTACAGGGGCGGAAACATAGAGGATGTCGCCGCCGCCGCTGAGGCCACGGTTACGACGCCGACGCCGCCGTTATGACACCGACGATGTCTCCGGCTCTGACGCGCACGGGACCGGACAACCATTGATAGGCAACGCACGATACGAGCTCAGAGAAGCCTTTTGGAGAGAGCCTTTCGAGCTCTTATCGCGCGTTGCCTGTCAATACCAAATACAACACAGCGCGATGCGAAGCAGACCTGGAAACGATGAAATAACGAAGCCGGAAACTATTCAAAAACGATCCCTTGGATTGACGTTGGAAACGATCAAAAAAACGCCCAGAAACGATTGAAAAACGTGAACTTGGCTGAAGGCGAAACAACAACAACAACAACAACAACAACAACAACAACAACAACAACAACAACAACAGCAACAACAACAACAGCAACAACAACAACAACAACAACAACCACAACAACAACCACAACAACAGCAACCACAACAACAACAACGACAACGACAACGACAACGACAACGACAGTAACAACAACAACAACAACAACAACAACAACAACAACAACAACAACAACAACCACAACAACGACAACGACAACAACGACAACGACAACGACAACGACAACGACAACAACAACAACAACGGCACAAACAACAAAACAACAACACTAACAACAACAACGACAACGACAACAACAATGGCAACAACAACAACAACTACAACAACAACGACCACAACAACTACTACTACTACTACTACTAAGACTACTACTAGTACTACAACAACAGCAATAACAACAACTACAACAACAACAGCAACATCAACAACAGCAACAACAACAGCAGCAACAACACCACCAACAGCAACAGCAACAATAACAAGAACAACGACAACACACAAAAAAAACGTTTCCAAGACATACTGAGGTGATGGTGCACGGGACGGGAGACAGACCTCGCTTGGGCGGGAAGGGAGAGAAGAGGGAGGATGACATGAGGGAGGAGGAGGAGGAGGAGGAGGAGGAGGAGGGAGGAGAAGGGAGGGGGAAGGAGGGAGCAGGAGGACAACACCGAGGCGCAGGATGGTCGGGCCGCCTGCTGCCCAGATCGGGACAAGGGCTCCCTCCTCCCCGGAGGCAAGAAGCGAGTCCTGCGTGACGGACAGCCGCCGTGTCTGCAGCAGTATTTTTGTTTGTCAGCGGCAGAGCGCGAGGGCCCGCAGCGCACGCGCTGCATGTCCGGGGGCGCGCAAACATGGATTAGCGATCCATGGACTTAGCGCGCGGTCGCCTAATCCACGGATCGGGGGAGGCGCCCTCCCCAGAATGCGGCCGGTGCCGCCTCGTGCCGGCGGTGGAAGTCCGCGATTTCCCATGGAAACGGGACCCGTCGCTAATCCATGCCCCCTTGATCCATGTTTGCGATCGCCTGAGCATGTGCACTACGCTTATGGATGCGATGACAATGGACACTCGAACAATCCGATCATTGAATTAAAGATGTGCTTAACATGTGTAAGACACGCTCTAAAAGTGTTGCAAGCATACTGTTTTACATAGTTGCAACATATTTAACACATGTGTTAGGCATCTGGAAATTATTATTATGTCGGGCGTGTCCCCCTACAGTGGGATCTTAGACGAAAAACACACCCAAAAAAAAAGTCCACAGACTATGTTTGGACTATGTTTTGACTATTTTGAGGGTCTGTTTTATTTTTCGTCGAACATCCCCCTGTTAAGGGGACAGGCCCGACTTAAGATTATTTGGCAACACGCTTCCTCTCCGCAGCCCTATGCGCACATTCGGCGGTGGACAAACCTCCCTTTAGCAAACCTCCCCTTCGTGAAAGCGGCCTGGGACTGAAACCGACGGACCTGGACCCGCAAGAATGACGGCCGCGACGCCCCCTCGCGTCCCGAGAACGGCCAATTCCTTGATCGACGTGTCAGGGTAGGAGGCCTGTCCACCCCCGACACATGGCAAGTCGTCGGAGCTGCCTGCACGGCCCCCCCGCGGAGTCTCACGGGAAGAAAGGCCTTCCGCCCGGGCCTGCGCGCCTCTCGCTCGGAGGCCGGAGGTGAAGGGGCCCTGGGACACACAAATAAATATACACAAATAAAAGGATTCCCCATATTTTCATGTATTCTTGGGGTTTTTGTCTTCCCCCACTGCCCATATTTTCCTATATTTTCTGGGGAATCGACGATTGATTGTGTCTGTGTGATTTTTCCCCTCCTGAGAAGGCCTCGCCCCCCGCGCCGGCGGGCACGCCGTGCCCGCTGGGAGCAGCGACCCTGCCCGCCCTCAAAGAGCTGCGAGCGGAAAGGGCACAAAAAGGAATGGGAGAGCACAGGGCTGGACCTGAACGCTGCGTTTCGTGTTGATTTTCGGCCCCGCACTGAAATCGGCGGTGGACAAACCTCCCTTTTGTAAACCTCCCCTTAGTGAAAGCGGCCTGGGGCCGAAACCGACGGACCTGGACCCGCAAGAATGACGGCCACGACGCCCCCTCCCGAAGCGAAAGCGGCCGATTCCTTAATCGACGTGTCAAGGCAGGAGGTCTGTTCACCTCCGATCAAAAAAAAGTTGCGAGCGGAAAGGGCAAAAAAAAGAATGGGGGAGCACAGGGCTGGACCTGAACGCTGCGTTTCGTGGTGTCTTTCGGCCCCGCACTGAAGTGCGCACAGGAAAGCGGATTCTGGCGTAGCATACGGATCCTGGTGTACACAGTTCCCCCCCGGGAAATGAGGCAAAAAAGACACACCACACCACCCCGACGTCGTCCTTGACCCTTAAAAGGTCGTGAGATTGAAAAACAACGCGCCACTGGTAATGCATATGTTCCAGTTTGCGAGTTTTTATGTGTTGTTCGTTTTGCTCGACGGAAAAAAAACAAAACACAGCCGAAGTCCAGCAAAATAGCGTTTAGGTACAGCCCTGGGAGACAAAAAATACTGGCACCGCTACTCCCAAGACCTCTTCAAGGGTGCGTCCTGGCCAGACTTTCGAGGCGAATCCAACCGTGGCGACGAAGGCCTCCCAGGAGGCCCCGGACGGCGAGAACGAGGGCCAGGGACATCGGAATCCTCGTCCTCCTCCGAGACAAGCCAAAGAGACGGTCTCCTTCTGCTCCGCCTGGGCGAAGAGCGCCACCTCCCAGCGGCCGCCAGCGTCGGGCAGCCCAGTCAGCACCCCGCGGCGGCCGTTGAGCTCGGGGGCCTTCGCGAGGCCAGCCAGCTCGACGATCCGCCGGCCCGCCGGCCCCGCGGCGCCGACGCGGCAGGAGGCGGTCCCGGAGAGCCCGGCAGACAGAGGCGGCGGCGACTCTCGCGTGCCTACCGCGGGTGCGTGCCATGCCGACCTCGGCGCTGGCTCCTGACACCGCGGAGGTCGTTCAGCCTGGAACGATCTTCCGTTTCCGGAACGTCAGATCGTTCCTCATCGACCGACTCTGGGTCGCCGGCGGCGTTCAACGCTGAGCGCCACCGGCGGGGTCGACGCCGGTCGACACGACGCGAACCTCAGCGCTGGACACACCTCCCTTTAGTAGACCTCCCCTTAGTGAAAACGGCCTGGGACCGAAACCGATGGACCTGGACCTGCAAAAATGACGGCCGCGACGCCCTCCCGCGAACCGAAAACAGCCAATTCACTAATCGACGTGTCAGGGCAGGAGGCCTGTCCAGCCCCGAGAACCTGCCGTAGCAACCCCGAGTTCCTGGCGTCGCATTTGTTTTTCACAACGCGCGATTTAGCCCTGTTTCGGGACCCCCAGGGCCCTCACGGATCGACGCGGCTCGAAGAGACGCCGCGGAGAAGTGGACTGCAGGGATCATCCGGTCGAGCTGCTTCACGACGCCGCGTTTTTCGAGGACCTGCGGATCCTTCCCTGCGGAGAGCTCCACCCCATGGACTTTGGGAGAGAAGGAGATGCGAAACTCCCCTGTAATGGTTCTCGGAGGCTGGCACAACGTTTTCGCTCAGGCTGCTCTGTTGTCTGAGGGGGGCAACTGCACGCCTGCAGCAGGCCACGAGCGGCCAACGTCTCCGCACCCGCGCCCGCACAGTCCGGATTCGGAGGCGCGATCCCGCGGATGCGGCCCAGGGGCCCCGCCCGCGAGGCCGCGGAAACGGATGTGAGTTCGCCCACGAACCCACTCGATCCTCCCAGAGAGCTCATCCCTCCGTCTTCGCCCGTTCCCTGTACTGTGGAAGCGCCCGCTACGCAAGGAGATGCTCCTGATCATGGATACCTGTACACAAACTGTCCAGATATGAGCCTGGCGTGGCAGCGGCGCCCTCGAACGCCTGATCTGAGTGCGAATTGTACACCCACTCCTCTCCTTCTCTATGTCCTCTCCCCCTCATTCTCCACCCCTTTCTTGGTTTGACTTCAAGGGGAGACCGTGGGGGAGGGGAGAGGAGTGGGGAGGTGGGCAAGGGAAAACATGCAGGAGCTGGCGAATACAGGAGAGGACGGGTAAGAACGCGCCCGCTGATGCCCAAAAACAGCACTTGCGACAAAATCCCGAGTGCCCCTCTGAGCAGATCTCGGGCGCCACTGGCAGAACAGCGAGACAACCATGGGGGAACGAACAATGACAGAAACATAACAACTCGGAGATCCGCGTGGATTTCTCGGATCGGCGCTGGAAACCCCTGGCGGCGCCTCCGGCGCCGCCCCTGGCGCGCCCCGCGCGCCATGGAGGGGGGTCCAGCGCCGACCCGAGAAATCCGCGCGGACCTCCGAGTTTTTTCGGGTTCCAGTCATTGCTTGTTCCCCTAGGGCAGATCTCGGGCGCCACTGTCGGGCCGGGCGAAAGGGGGGGACAGCAAAGGGGGGGTTTGAGAATCAGCTCACGTAGCTGATTTTCCCGGCGCCTCCCGGCGCCGGAGGCGGCTATGTATCGAGGAATGGGCCCCTCGGTAGGGCCGAAACCAGCTGCATGCAGCAGATTCGTACCCCCCCCCCTTTCCATATCCCCCCTTTCGTTCGGCGCGACACTGGCAGAACAGCGGGACGATCAATGCCGAGCTCGAGCGCACTCGGCCACCGAGCGTGCCGAAGGACTTCCGCGGCACGCGGCACCTCTCTCCGAGCGGCGCGCCTGGAACTGGAGGCTTGGAAATAGGCACCAACACCAGCACAAGGGGTTGCTGCCACCCTGGAAAACGATCCTAGATGTTGGTGTTGGTGGCAATCTTCCGGCCATCTAGGAAGCCCGAATATCACCAACGTCACCGAGATCTAGGTAAGCTTCCCTCGTTGGAGGCACATAGCCGATATTGGTGTTGGTGCCAACCTCTAGGTGTGCGACAGGAATTCGTGCCGCGGGGTCCGTGGTGCCGGCTGCACAACAGTGCAATGCGGCCACAGCGGCACATATGTAAGCACTGCACGCGAAGCTGCCGCCGTGCACTCATGCTGCCTTCCCAGGCAAGCAAACTGTGTTCGCGGTAAGTCGCGCGACCCTCTGCAGGCAAGAGCAGAATTCCTGATACCTCTCGGGCGCCTTCTGTCAGACAGAACTCCGGGCGCCGTTGCTTCCATCGTGCAGGCGGCTGGCAGCACAGCGACAAAAAAGAAAGCATTGGCTCGGGCACTCTTGAAGGGGCCCCAGGACACACAAATAAATACACACAAATAAAAATATCCCCTATATTTTTTCATATGTTCTGGGTTTTTGTCTTCCCCCCAATGCCCATATTTTCCCATATTTTCTGGGGAATCGAGGATCAATTGTGTCTGTGTGTTTTTTCCCCTCCTGAACTCTGGCCAACCACGGAGCACCACAAGCGACCTGGCGGCCGAGACGGCCCACTCCCCTCGTGAAGACTGCGGTGAGACGTTGAGGCCACGAGGCTCTACGAGGCACGGCGGGCACCCGTCGGCAGCGAGACAGGGAGCAGCCCATCCCGGGCCTCTGCCTGGCAGAACCTGATGCCTGGCCGCTGCCGGATGGCCTGCCGGCCGAGCCAGCACACTGCGCCTCGAGAGGAGGCGCGAGGGGGCCCGAGGCACGAGGCTGCCGACGCACGAGCAGGGCCACCCTTCTCCAAGGCGCGTGCCGGATGCACGAATAGCGAGCCTCCACGGCGCGCGCACGCTTCACAGCAGATGAACCAGAGCGGCTTGCCTCCACAGCCAAGACGAGCCGCGGGCTCTGCGCTGACACTGGAGCTGGTGCTGTGCCCTGGCGCTGCGCTCGATCCATGCACGCCCGAGGCGGAGCGGGCGGGCGCGCGGGTACCGCGGCCACGACTGGTCAAGCACGATCGCCCTGCCGAAGCCTGCCGAAAGCTAACGTGGAGGACGAGAAGCGCGAGGAGTTCGGGGCCGCGGGAACGCTGCAGGCAACAGCCAGCAGCCAGCAGCAGCGACCCCTACCCCTACCCCCCACGATGTCTGAGGGGGAGGATGGGGTTCACCTCGTTCGGGAGCTCCCGAGCGGAGTGAACCCCACCCTCCCGCTCAGAAGTCGTGGAGGGTAGGGGTAGGGTTCCCATGTGTGGCCCCCTAACGCCGACCACTGATCGGAAGCTTCTCAGCGGCTGAGCTGGTGTGGAGGCGAACACCTCGGCTGGCACAGCTGCGAGAGCCAGCTCTCCAAGGCAGAGGAACGGCTGTTCGACGCCGACTGAAACGGAGAGGAGCCTGTCCGCAATCCAGGAACACACTGCGCGGAATCCTCCGATGGGGACTGAGGCCCCTTCATGTGGTCAATCGCGTGTGGCACAGCCTCTGTTTAACGGGCGAAGAACGGTATAAAATAAACCTTTTCGCTGTCGGGGGCGCCTGTCCCTGGGCGGCTGGAAAAGTTATACCCTTACGGTGGCACCGTAGGGGGTACAAACTTTCCAGCCGCCCAGGGACAGGCGCCCCCGACGGCGAAATTTGTTTTACCTTATACCGTTCTTCGCCAGTTAAATGTGGTCAATCGCGTGTGGCACAGCCTCTGTGGGTGCCAAGGTGTGCACAGCAGCTGCGGCGATGCGGCACCGGCGATCGCTCAGCGCGGAAGGGCCGAGGCCAGGCGGCGAGCACCGTGGAGGCGTAGGTGAAGGGGGCCTGGGACACACGGATAAAAATATTCCCCATATTTTCCTATATTTTCTGGGTATTTGCCTTCCCCCCACTTCCCATATTTTCTCTGTATATTCTTGGGAATCGCCGATTAGTGTCTGTGTGTTTCTTTCCCTCCTGAGTAGGGAGGCGTAGGGACGGCCGCGGAGTCGGCGGAGAGGGGACCTGCGGGCGGGCGAGGCGCGGTCGAGGTGCACCGGCGATGTGCCGGAGGAGGCCTTGGCCTGCAGCCCGGCCGGCCTTGGTCGCCTACGCGCGGGGCCTTGGCCTAAGGAACCCTAAATAATAAGGAACGAGGCCCCTTTTTTCCAGAAGTTAAACTTCGATTTCCGATCGAAAACATAAGGAAAACCTGAGGCAGACTGTGAAACATTTAAGGAACACGGAGCCCCTCCCCAACGAAGAGGGTTCCTTCTTCAAGACCCCTACTGTACGCGCGGCCGATGGCAGGTGCCACCAAGCCACGCTCGATCGGTGCACGCAGGGCGGCCTCTCGGGACGGGGCTGCCTTCGGCCGGATCTGGTGAGACGGCGAGCAGGTGCGCAGGCCACTCAGCCTCACGGTGCTCTCTGTGCGTGAGGCCGGCACGGGCGCGCCCAGCTGCGGTGCCAGCGCGGGCAACGGGGCCGGTGCGATCGGCGCCCCTGCCATGATCTGCAGCGTGGCCAGTCCCATCCTTTGGAAGATGAGGAGTTGCGCTCGATCGGGACCACGCGCAAGACTCTATCAGTCTCGCACGCACTGAAGTGGATCGCCGCTGGTGCAGGCACCATCGGCCCTGGCACATGTACACTTCCGACCTTTCCTGCTCCACTGCTTGCTCGCATTACTCCGATCCATTTGGTCATGTCTCTCTCTTCTCTTCTCTCTCTCCTCTCTCTCTCTCTCTATCTCACTCTTTCTGTCTCTCTCTCTCTCTCTCCTCTCTCTCCATCTCTCTCTCTCTCTCTCTCTCTCCTTTTCTCCGTCGCAAGAGGAGGAGGGTTGAGAGGGAGGGCGTCGGGGTCGAGCGCAATTTCGGGGTGGCTACGGTTGATTGCCTCCGTTGGGAAGAAGTGCATCCAGCACGTTCAGCAAAAAACGGTGAGCAAAATCCAGGCCAGGTCAATGGCACGTACTCTCTCAACGCTGCGATTGGGTCTCGGGTCGCGGTGTGCCTTGAGTCATCCTGGAGATCAAATGTGGGTCGGCGGTCAAATCCAAATCAGGTCGTCTCTATAGCACCTGCCAGGCAATCGCAAGCCCTCCTTCTCATCATTACCCACAACCTCATTCCCCTCATCCTCCTCTTCCTTTTACTCCTCCGCCTGCTCCTCGTCGTCCTCCTCCTCTTCCTCCTGATCCTCCTCCTCAGCCTCCTCCTCCTCCTCAGCCTCCTCCTCCTAATCATCATCATCATCACCATCATCACCACCATCACCACCACCACCATCATCCTCAGCAGCAGCATCAGCATCATGAGCATCATGAGCATCATGAGCATCATGAGCATCATGAGCATCAGGAGCATCATGAGCATCATGAGCATCAGCATCATCACCATCATGAACAACCACATCATCGGCAGCAGCAGCATCCGCAGCAGCAGCAGCAGCAGCAGCAGGTCTAACTTCCCCTATACTCGGTAGCCGGGAGGGCCCGCCAAAAATCTCCCACCTCCACGCCCGCTCGTCGCTCGTCGGCGCGCGTGGGCGCCCCGCACTCTTGGGCGGGCCCGCCCCCCCGAGGCTCCGCCAAGAGGGCCCGCCCGCGAGCGCCTCTCGCCGGCGCTGGCCAGGCGCCCCGTGCCTGGGTGGGGCCCGCCGAGGTCTCGGCCCCGCCTGAGCGAGGAAGGAATTCGACAATCATGCTATGTCGAAGGATTGCAAAAAAAA